TATTATAATAGCACCCCTGTGATAAGGCAAGACCAATATGCAGTCTGCTTCCTGGGAGACTCCCATAGTTTCTAACTTTTTCCAATTTTGTGACATCTGGTAGGATAAAGTCTGTGACACTTAACAGAGCTTGTTGATGACTTCAGATCTGTGGGTTCCTTTCTCTTCCAAAACAAATTTGTAATGAAAGAAAAAGCAAAAAGCTAACGAGGTTTCTGTTAGCCAAGATATGTTTTCTTCTCTTTTTTAAAGAGCTGTTTCTATTTATTTAGTTTCATTTAAAAGTCAGAGAAGGGGGCAGGGAGGGAGAGAGAAAGAGAGAGAGAGAGAGAGAGAGAGAGAGAGAGAGAGAGAGAGAACCATTTGTTGGTTTACTCTCCAAATGTCCTCAAAAGCCAGGCAGCCAGGGTGGGGTCAGAGTGAAGCCAGGAGTGTAGAAATCAATCTGGGTCTCCCACTGGGTGGCAAGGACCCAAGTACTCGAATTATTGACCTGCTGCCTCCTGGGGTGTGCATTAGCAGGAAGCTGGAATCAGAAGCAGAGGTGGTGTGTGAATCAGGCACTCTGATACGGGATGTGGGCATCCCAAGTGGCCTCTTAACCACTGTGCCAAATGCCTATCTCAAGAAATTTTTTAAAAAATATTTATTTATTTATCTGAAAGGCAGAGTTACAGAGAGGCAGAGGCAGAGAGAGAGAGAGAGAGAGAGAGAAAGAGAGAGAGGTCTTCCATCCTCTGGTTCACTCCCCAAATGGCTGCAATGGCTGGAGCTGAGCTGAACTGAAGCCAGGAACCTAGAGCTTCTTCTGCGTCTCCCATGTGGTGCAGGGGTCCAAGGACCTGGGCCATCTTCTACTGCTTTCTCAGGATCATTAGCAGGGAGCTGGATTGGAAGTGGAGCAGCTGGGACTTAAACCGACGCCCATATGGGATGCCAGCACTGCAGCTGGTAGCTTTACCCGCAACACCACAGCACTGGCTTTAAGAGAAGTTTTTGTATGGAACATTCATGTTTTACAAAATTCACAAGCTAGATCCTCACAGATTAGGAAAAGCACAGATTCCCAGGATCAATGAGACATTAAAGGTCATTCAACACAGTTATCTTCTATGATATATATTTATAATTTTTTATTTTTATTTTTTTTTTTTTTTTTTTTTGACAGGCAGAGTGGACAGTGAGAGAGAGACAGAGAGAGAAAGGTCTTCCTTTTGCCGTTGGTTCACCCTCCAATGGCCGCCGCTGCAGCCGACGCACCGCGCTGATCCTGGCAGGAGCCAGGAGCCAGGTGCTTTTCCTGGTCTCCCATGGGGTGCAGGGCCCAAGCACCTGGGCCATCCTCCACTGCACTCCCTGGCCATAGCAGAGAGCTGGCCTGGAAGAGGGGCAACCGGGACAGAATCCGGTGCCCCAACCGGGACTAGAACCCGGTGTGCCGGCGCCGCAAGGTGGAGGATTAGCCTATTGAGCCACGGCGCCGGCTATATTTATAATTTTTTAAAAAGATTTAATTACTTTCTTTGAAAAGAGTGACACAGAGAAAGGGATAGCTAGAGAGAGAATACGCAAAATCTCCCATTTGCTGGCTCCCTCCCCAAGTACTTGCAATAGCCAGGTCTGGGTCAGGCTGAAATCAGAAGTCAAGAATTTTATCCAGGTCTCCCATGTGGGTGGCAGGAACCCAAGTACTTGGGCCATAATCTGCTGCTTTCCAGGCATCTTAAAGGTAGTTATATGGAAAGTACAGAGTAACAAGGACTTTCAGTAGGAACTCTGGTATGGAATGCAGGTGTCCCAAATGCTACACCACAATGCCTGCCCCCTATCTACAACATTTTAAGTCATGTGCCCTGAGCAGTGACTTTTATTAGCATTTCTTGGTCCTGTTTCTCGAACAGCTTGAGTTTTGTCTGACTTTTTTTAGTCTCATTCTTGAGATAGCTTTTTCCACACTTTCTTCAGATATCAAGAGATGATCTGTGCTTTGACAGCACACCTTTAATGTGGTCTAAGTTATATTCCCCCTACCCCCACCAGTCTTTTGTGGATGATTCTGTTGCTCCCAAGCTAGCTGTTTGATGAAAAGTCTAAGGCAGAGGTTAGCAAACTTTCTCTCTGAAGGGGCTAGTTAATATATATTTTGGCCTTTTGGACCATACAGACTGGATCACAGCTACTAACTCTGCCATTGTACATGAAAGCAGCCATCCAAGTGGGCATGACCATAATATGGAAAACAGCTTTTTTTTTAGAGACAATGAAATTTGAATTTCATATTATTTTTATGATCACAAATACTATTATTCTTTTTTTAGAGGTGTATTTATTTATTTGAAAGTCAGAGTTACACATACAGAGAAAGAGAGGCTGAGAGAGAGAGAGAGGTCTTCCATCCCATGTTTCACTCCCCAAATGGCTGCAATGGCTGGAGCTGCTCCGACCCGAAACCAGGAGTCAGGAACTTCTTCTGGGTCTCCCATGTGGGTGCAGGGGCCCAAGGCCTTGGGACATCTTCTACTGCTTTCACAGGCCACAGCAGAGAGCTGGAATGGAAGTAGAGCAGCTGAGACTCGAACCCATGCCCATTTGGGATGCCAGCACTACAGGCGGTGTCTTTATCCGCTATGCCACAGCGCTGGCCCCAAAATACTATTCTTTTCAACTACTTAAAAAGTGCAAAAACTCCCCTTAGCTTGCAGATTGTTAAAAAAAAAAAACAAACCCAAACACAGTCAGGGCAAATTTGCCCATAGCTGAATAGAGCTGCTCAGGGGGAGCACGAGGCATGTGTGTGAAAAATCAGCAGGGAGAAATGGTCTGAAGAATGCACCATAATTATTCTAAGAACTTAGTTCAGGAATTGCAACCTAGGTTTGAGATCTGACCTTTCAAGAAATTGTGGGTGGGTTTGCAAATAGCCAGGAATTCAGCTGGAAAGCTGGGGGACCAAGTTGAAGAGGGCTGATACAAAACCGACAGGCTACATTGGATTGAACCACGGTGGTTGACAACCAGCCCACCTCGTTGTACAGCACATGTGTATGCAAGACTGTTGCAGGTGGGTAGATGGAGCGACATAAAAAGGTTGGCATTTATTCTTTACATCCTGGTATTTTTTTTTTCCTTTGACAGATAGAGTTAGACAGTATGAGAGAGAGACAGAGAGAAAGGTCTTCCTTTTTCCATTGGTTCACCCTCCAAATGGCCGCTATGGCCAGAGCTACGCCGACCCGAAGCCAGGAGCCAGGTGCTTCTCCTGGTGTCCCATGTGGTTGCAGGGGCCCAAGCACTTGGGCCATCCTCCACTGCTTTCCCAGGCCACAGCAGAGAGCTAGACTGGAAAAGGAGCAGCCAGGACTAGAACCCGGCACCCATATGGGATGCCGGCGTGACAGCTGGAGGATTAACCCAGTGAGCCACGGTGCTAGCCCCTACATCCTGGTCTTTTAAACAAGTAGTTTACTACTTCATTATTTTAGGAAGCATGATTTCAGCATGAAATGCAATATTAGGTTGAGTCACTTATACAAACATCATGTTGAAACCAAACATTAACCTGGGAAATCCAAATTTTATTCTTTTCTTGTCCTCTCTTTCACAATCCTGAGAGATCACTTCCAAATGAACTCATTAAGTTTAGCTGTGATTATTGTTTTGATTTGTTTTCAGGTGGCAAGAAATGGAGATACATTAAGGTTAGCTTAAATAATAAAATTCTATATGTTTACGTGCACAAAGTAAAAAGTATGTAACTCAAGAGATCAGTGTTGTGGTGCAGTGGGTTAAGACACCACCTGTGACACCAACATCCCATATGGATACTGGTTTTAGTCCCAGCTGCTCCACTTCCAATCCAGCCCCCTGCTACTTCCAATCCAGCCCCCTGCTAATGTGCGGGGGAAAGAAGTGGAAGATGGCCCAAGTGCTTGTCACCCCAGACTTGGGAGACCCAGATATAGTTCCAGGCTCCTGGTTTCAGACTAACTCAGCCCTGGCCATGTGGCCATTTGGGGAGTGAACCAACAGATGGAAGATCAGTTTATCTCTCTCTCTTGCTAATTGCATTTTTCAAATAAATAAATACACCTTGAAAAAAGCTTTTTTTAATTTAAAAAATTTATTTATTTATTTGAAAGACAGAGGAGTTGCAGATAGAGGTAGAGAGAGAGAGAGAGAGAGAGAGAGAGAGAGGTCTCTGTTTGTTCACTCCCCTAGATGGCCACAATGGCCAGAAATGGCCTGATATGAAGCCAGGAGCCAGGAGCTTCTTCTGGGTCTCCCACGTGGGTGCAGGGGCCCAAGGACTTGGGCCATCTTCTACTGCTTTCCCAGGCCATAGCAGAGAGCTGGATCGGAAGTGGAGCAGCTGAGACTTGAACCGGTGCCCATGTGGGATGCCGGCACTGTAGGTGGTGGCTTTACCCACTATGCCACAGCTCCTTCCTCCCTCCCTCTCTTTCTCTCTTTCTAATTCTCTATTTACTTGAAAGGCAGAGCAATGGAGATAAGGAGAGAAAGAGTTAGAGAAATCTTCCATATACTGATTCACTCTCCAAATAGTAACAACACTGACGTCTGGGCCAAGCTGCAGGCAGGAGCCAGAAACTTTGACCTGGTTTCCCACGAGCCTGGCAGGGGCAAAAGGACTTGGATCATCTTCTGCTTTCCCAGGCTCAGTAGCAGGAAACTGGATCACAAAAGCTGGGGCTGCACCAGAACAAAACCAGGAGCCTAGATCTCCATCCCAGTTTCCCACATGGTGGCAGGAGCCCAACGAGTTGGGCTATATTCTGCTGCCTTCACAAGAACATTAGCAGGGAGCTGGACTGGAAGCCAAGCAGTCAGGACTTAAACAGCTCTCCAATATGGGATGCTGCTGTTACAAGCAGTGTTGGCCCCAGTGGGACTATCTTAAGCAAAGTTTCAGAGGCAAGAAAGTATGGAGAACGTTTAAGGAATAGTAGGTAAACTAATGGTCCTGGGAGAGAAGAGGGAGGTGGAGATATCGGGAAATGAAGTATATTGGGGTCAGATTGGCGGTGAGGGGTGGGGGTTGCTTACTGCAGATTGGAAAGTGAGAGGCTGGAAGGAACACAGACAATTCACAACTCAGATGAAGTGTACGGGAGGACTATTTGCCCTAAGCAATTCTGATGATAAGAGGCATGGGGGGGGGGGGCTGGTGCTGTGGCGTAGTGCCACCTGCAGTGCCAGCATTCCATATAGGTGAGGGTTTGAGTCCCAGCTGCTCCACTTCCAGTCCAGCTCTCTACTATGGCCTGGGAAAGCAGTAGAAGATGATCCAAGTCCTTGGGCCCCTGCACCCATATGGGAGACCCAGAGGAAGCTCCTGGCTTCAGATTGTCACAGTTCTGGCCATTGTGGTCATCTGGGGAGTGAACCAGGGGATAGAAGACCTCTCTCTTTCTGTAACTTTGCCCTTCAAATAAATAAATAAATCTTTAAAATAAAAAAAAAGAGGCTTGGGAAATTGGGAGGGAAGCAAATGGAGGAAGGGCATTGCTCTACCATGCAGGTTTCCCCAAATTTGCCTGGGATACCCCCCCTACTTCCTAGGAAAAGCATTCATTTCTCATGGTTAACGCAGGAACAATACATGCTTCCTGTTCAGAAATATAGCAAAAAGTGTAAATCAGTTTTGTACAATTTATTGAGATTGAATATAATACCAGCCGCTTCTTCTTAAGTAGAATTCCATTCAATTCTACCTAAACTGACATCTATTTATAGGAAAACTGTTGTATGCCCAGCAGCTGAGAAGAGCAGTAGTGATGGTGGTGCGGGGGTGCCTGAGCCTGCAGCTACTTCTTCTCGTTCACAGCCCCTCGACCTGCCGTCATCCTCCTCAGAGCAGACTTCACGTCCTGGTTCCTCAGTGTGTAGATGAGGGGGTTCAGTAAGGGAGTGACAACGGTGTAAAACACAGCCACTGCCCCGTCCAGGGGGCTCTTGGAGCCAGCCCTGAGGTAGATGAAGATACAGGGGACATAGTAGACGGTGACCACGGTTAGGTGGGAGCCGCAGGTGGAGAAGGCCCGGCGCCTCCCATCAGCAGTGCGTATCTTCAGGATGGCACGGATGATGTTGGCATAGGAGAGCAGAATTAACATGAAGCAACTGGCAGCCACTACCCCAATGTCCACAAAAGTCACCAGCTCGTTGACACTTGTGTCAGCACAGGCCAGTCTCAACACTGCAGGGATGTCACAGAAAAAATAGTCTACCTGATTGGGTCCACAGTAGGGCAGGCGGAAGGTCAGTGCGGCCTGGATAGATCCATGGATGGAGCCTGCCAGCCAAGCTCCAGCCACAAGGATGCTGCATAACCTCCCGTTCATGAGTACAGGGTAGCGCAGGGGCTGGCATATGGCCAGGTACCTGTCATAGGCCATCAAGGTGTAGAGGAAGCACTGGGTGCTGCCCAGGAAGTGAAAGAAGTACAGCTGAGCCACACAGCCACCAAATGGGACAGCCTTGCTGGCAGCAGTGAAGTTTAGAATAAGCCGAGGGACGATGACGGAGGAGAGCCACATGTCCAGGAAGGACAGGACCCCCAGCAGAAGGTACATGGGGCGTGCGTGGAGCTTGGGCTCAGCCCACACGGTGAGCAGGATGAGCAGGTTCCCCAGCTGAGTCAGGACGTAGATGGTGCAGAAGACCAGGAAGAGGAGGGTTCTCAGGTTTGGGGGGTGAGACAAGCCCAGGAGAATGAAGTCTGTCACTATGGTGTCCAGCGATGTGTTTTTGGTCTTTCTCATATTTTTCTGTAGACTGGGAAAAAGAGTGAAGTCAGATGAAGGAAATAGCACAAATTGAGGGACAAGAGAATTTTTTTTTTCTACTGATGAAGGCAAACAGAGGATTTCTGCATGTTAAGTAGAAATCATTTGTCATCTTTCATCTGTGTGCTCGGCAGGAAAATCCTTAGAGGCTTGTTAATTTTGCGGTGTCCTGAAGTGTTCTCCCCGTGGGAGACACTACACATGAGTGGTGGAAACCAGGGCACAGGGTGTCTTAACACCGTGTTAGTGTACGTGCTGTGTCTGTGCTGAAAAGGGACACTGTGGAGAGATGGTTTTCTGTGGTAAGGAGCAGATGGGAACCATGACTCCACAATTAGCAGCCCTACAATTGGTTTCTGAATTAATGTCCTTGGAGTATCTCCTCCCGTGATCTACAAGAACCTTCGTGATGTGGTCCTTGCTTGCTTCTCTGGTTTCCTTTCTTTCTGTTTCCTCTGAGCCCCAGGCCCTCCTCCCTTCTGGATCTGTGGGTGTCCTGTGTCACATTGACACATCTGATTCCTCAAGATTTGTTTTGGCTGTTACTTCCTTCAGAAACAGGTCTCCCCAAAAGACAATCTTTTGGGAAATAAGAACTTATAAAAGACAATTGTAGTTCCCTGCAACAGAGCTATTTCTTACACGCTTATTAGTTTTTTCTATTAGATTTTAAGATCCTTCAGAGCAAAGACCAAGTCTATTTTGTTCTTTGATATATCTATAGCAACAGCCCCACTACTTGGCAATGGTCAGCTTCTTAGGTAATATTTATGGATGTGTGGGGGACATTTGGCACAGTGGTTAAGATGGCTGTTGGGATACCAGCACCTTATATTGGAATACCTGGTTTGAGTCCTGATGCTGCTTCCAATTCTAGCTTCCTCCTAATATGCACCCTGGTAGGCAGCAGATTATGGTTCAAACAGTTGGGTCTCTGTCACTCATGTCGAAGACCTGGATGGAGTGCTGGACTCTTGGCTTCTATCTTGTCCAGCCTGGCTATTGCAGGCATTTCAGGAGTGAGTCAGTGGATGGAAGATCTCTTTCTCTCCTTCTTCTCGTCTCTTTCTTTTTTTCTGAGTGTGTATTTTCTCTCTGCATTTCAGATTACATGCAAATAATTAAAAAATAGGAAAATAAATACGTGTTTGCTGATTGGCTGACTGTGTGGTCTTGTTCATCCTGTGTGAGCCCATTTGTCATGCTTTGCACCACATCATCATGGTGGATGTGGATCAGCCTCACATTTCAAGCAATGTGAGCCTATGCTGAGTGTAAATGAAGTCCAAGGCACCGTCTATGCTTTCTGTTTGCTCCAGAATGTTATTTACATGGAATGGCCTAAGTTGATTCTTAGTTTCAATTATTTTGATTATATATATATTTCCGACTTTGAGTTATGTTTTTTCCTTTAATAGGCTTTATTTACCTTCCAACACATGAGATTCTCAGAAGCTCTTTAAAAATGTGAATCACACACCTGAGCCTATATTGCTTAAAAGCTTCCTTTGGTGAATAACTTTTTCAAGAGTTTTTTCCCACAATAGTATTTTAGATATTTTTACTTGTTGCTTAAACTTAAAACGTCTCATAATTTTAAAAATCAGTATTATTGTGTACATTTAGGGTATGTAGTATGGAGTTAGGAGTTAAATATAGACTGTAAAATGGTTACTTTAGGGGCTGGCACTGTGGCATAGCGGGTAGAGCCATTGCTTGTAGTGCTGGAATCCCTTATGGGCACTGGTTCGAGTCCTGGCTGCTCCACTTCCGATCCAGCTCTCTGCTATGGCCTGGGAAAGCAGTAGAAGATGGCCTAAGACCTTGGACACCAGCACCCGCGTGGGAGACCCGGAAGATGCTCCTGGCTCCTGGCTGCGGATTGGTACAGCTCTGGCCATTGTGGCCAATTGGAGAGTGAACAAGCAGATGGAAGACCTCTCTGCCTCTCTCTGCCTTTCCTCTCTCTGTGTGACTCTGACTTTTAAATAAATAAATGAATCTTTAAGAAAAAAGATGGTTACTTTGGTGAAGTAAGTTAACATATCCATCGTTTCATATAGTTACCCCCATTCTTTTGCAGTTGAAATCTGTTTATCCAGCAGAGATCCCAAATGTAACAATGGTATTGTTGGCTGCTGTTGTCATTTGCATATTAAATTCTAGACTTGCTCATCCTACATATCTGCTCACTAATCTTTATTAAAAAAGATTTAATTATTTTTATCTGAAATTTGGAATTACATAGAAAGAAGGAGAGACACAGAGAGAGGAAGGGAGATCTCTTCCACCGGTTGGTTCACTCCCCAGATGGCTGCGACGATCAGGGCTGGGTAGGCTGAAGCCAGGAGCTTCATCCAGGTCTCCCACATGGATGGCAGAGGCCCAAGCACTGGAGCCATCTTCAACTGCTTTCCCAGGCCTTTAGCAGGGAGCTGAATCAGAAATGAAGCAGTTGGGACCCAAACCATCGCCCAAATGGGATGCCAACCTTGCAGGCAGTGGCTTAACCTGTTATGCCATAATACTAGCTCTGGCTCACTAATCTTTTGAATCTGTTGGAGTCTTCAGTTATGTAAATTGAGAAATGAAGCAAATTTAGACTCATCAATTAAAAAATCAAGTATCTACCTCTTGGGTAATTTGATATACATTCTAAAATTTTCAGTTTTAAGTCCTACTTAGTATTGTTAAAGTCTATCTTACAAATTAGTTGTAATTTAATATTGAGTATATGATTAAAGAAAATACAAAGCCAGTGGTATCACTAATAGAATCAACATTTAAAACAGTGACTAATTAGATGCAGAGATTTGGCAGCAGAAATACAAGGGCTAGGCTCCTGGAGATGCAGCGAATGAGGTTGAACTGTGAGAGCGTGGTAAAGAGGGTCCGCTAGGAATCCACCTGTGTGTTGTTTGCTGCTCTCCCTGGTGGGGTAGGCCTATTCACTTTAAATCCTTTGCAGGTGGTGCCTCTTCTCACTTGATAAAAAATCAGAGCATCACAGAGGGGGTTTGGCCTCTTTCTGGCGTGTATGTGCTGAACTGGGGTTTTATATAGGACACCTAAGGGTGGGGGCCATCCCAGTTCAGCACAGGTAGGAATCACCAGGGGCAGAGGGATGAGGAATGACCCAGGGCTGCGTTGTTCCCACCTGCTTGCTTTTAAAGCCAGCCTCAGATTATAGCCTCTTTGGGTCATAAGGCAGCCTGAACTGAGAGGAAGAGCAAGTGGCATGAACCGAGTTTGAGGGCGGGGTGAAGCAGAACCCACATTTATTTCACCGATTATCCCACCAGTATCCTTGCACTTCAAGTTAGAAAAAAAACAGTGTGCTTAAGAAAAGGCACTTGGGGCCTGTGCGGTGGCACAGGAGGTTAACACCCTGGCCTGGAGCGCCGGCATCCCATATGGGCACCGGTTTGAGACTCAGCTGCTCCACTTCCGATCCAGCTATCTGCTATGGCCTGGGAAAGCAGTGGAAGATGGCCCAAGTCCTTGGGCCCCTGCACCGGCATGGGGGACCCAGAGGAAGCTTCTGGCTCCTGGCTCCTTGCTTCAGATTGGCCCAGCTCCGGCCGTTGCGGCCAACTGGGGAGTGAACCAGTGGATGGTTCTCTCTCTGCCTCTCCTCTCTCTGTGTGACTCTGACTTTCAAATAAATAAATAAATAAATCTTTTTTTAAAAAAAGGAAAAGGCACTTGAAATGGAGATGGCACCGCCTTCAAGTTGGTTGCTTAAGCATGTTTATCACTGCTAAAAGAGAGGGTAAGGAACCCTTGTCTTGCTGTTTTTGCACAGCAGTGCTGAATGTGGTATACCATCCGCATGTTTTATACCCTCCCTCACAGAAGAAATAAGAGAAGGGATAGATGCTCAAAATTTTCTTTCTTAATTCAAAGAAGAAAGTTCCCAAGCCTGGAGACAGGCCAGATAATTTAAAATTAATATGCCTAGCATATTAACTCTGGGAACAGAGAATGGGTTGAGGAAGGAGTTGGGTGAAAATGATAAATTAAATATTGTTTTTGGTCAAATTGCTAAATTGGTTAAAGTGTTGTGCATGGACCTAGCTTTAGAAATGCTTTTCTGCATGAACTCACATGGACACAGCATCAGAACCACGGAGGAGGTGTGTCTGTTCTCAGGCGGGATAGCCCAGATGTGAGGAGGAAAGCGTCCTTCGGAAGGTCCCTTGTGGTGCTGTGGTGATGGGGTTGTTGGATTGCTGCTGGGGAGCGGAATTGAACTATGCAGGGGATCAGCTCATGGGCTGATTAAGAATTGACAAGGTCTCTCCTCCCCGCCCCCGGGAGGTTCTTCAGGGAGTCTGACTTCCCTACTTATGATCTTGAATTGGTTATGTTATTAACTAGGTCCTCCGATCCAGTTTATAAAAACACTATCAAGAGATTTGAAGAAAACTATTCACCTCCTGGGACTTCTCCCCTGAAACCTTTTCCACGTGAGAGCTACATTCCTTAGATCCTCATTAATTTTTGTTTTGACAGCCAAGCAGGAATCATTTCTACGTGCCTAGAAAATGAGAACGATGCGATCTGTTTGGATGGCCTCTAATTTCTGTGATTCCTTTCTTTGGAGAGTTGTGGAGGTCTTGTGTTTACCAACATCATACTCACAAGTGCTTTGAGAAGGGATTTGATTTTCAACAATTGAGCTAATCTTCCTTATATGTCCCCTCTTCTTGGGATAATAAGAGGAAAAAATTATGCCAAATTTAGGTTAGTCAAGTAAATTTAGTTAGTTCAGTTTATTTTTTTTAAGGAGTTTATTTATTTGAGAGGTAGAGTTACAGAGAGGGAGAGACAGAGAGAAAGGTCTTCCACCCACTGGTTCACTCCCCAAATGGCCCCAACGGCCGGCGCTGAGCCCATCCAAAACCAGGAGCCAGGAGCTTCTTCTGGGTTTCCTATGCAGGGGCAGGTGCCCAAGGACTTGGGCCATCTTCTGCTGCTTTCCCAGGCCATAGCAGAGAGCTGGACCGAAAATAGAGCAGCTGGGACTGGAACTGGTGCCCATGTGGGATGCTGACTCTGTAGGCAGACACTTAGCCCATTACACCACAGCGTTGGCCCCCATTTATTTATTTTTGAAGTATTTATTTATTTATTTGAAAGATGGAGTTACAGAGAGGGAGAGACAAATTTTCAATTTGCTGGTTCATTCCTCAAATGGCCACAGTGGCCAGGTCTGGGCCAGGCAGAAGCCAGGAGCCAGGGCTTCATCGGGGTCTTGCTTATTTCTAACAGTCTTTCTAACTTGTAGCAATACCCTCCCACCCTTCCTAGCATACTGATAACTTCAAGGGCTAGGAAGAAGGTCCTGTTCACAGACATGAAGCTAGATCACATCAAGATGTGTAAATGAGCTGCTTCTTTACAGAGGTAGATATGAATGTCAGAGGGACACAAGGCTGTGTTTCCTCCTGTCGCTAGGAGGATAACGGACTGATCCATCTCACCTTACCTGGGGTATGATAGGGGTGGCAGCTGTTACGGTTAAAGCTAAATTTCTGGGCTGGCACCGCGGCTCAATAGGCTAATCCTCCACCTAGTGGTGCCAGCACACCGGGTTCTAGTCCCGGTCGGGGCACCGGATTCTGTCCCGGTTGCCCCTCTTCCAGGCCAGCTCTCTGCTGTGGCCAGGGAGTGCAGTGGAGGATGGCCCAAGTGCTTGGGCCCTGCACTCCATGGGAGACCAGGAGAAGCACCTGGCTCCTGCCCTCGGATGGGCGCGGTGCACCAGCCGCAGCATGCTGGCCGCGGCGGCTGTTGGAGGGTGAACCAACGGCAAAAGGAAGACCTTTCTCTCTGTCTCTCTCTCTCACTGTCCACTCTGCCTGTCAAAAAAAAAAAAAAAAAAAAAAAAAAAAGCGCTAAATTTCTGGAATTTCCCTCTAGCTTCTGTGAAAATGCCCTTATTTCTCCCTACCCCGCCCCATGGTCGATCTAAGGAGCCAAGGGCTTATCAGTTCCCAGAGGTCAGTATAGTTGCAATATTCTCTAGAAGAGAAAAATCTAAGAACTTAATTTGGGCAGAGAAATCTTGTGCTCTTGGCCACGTGGTGTCAGTCGTGGTCCAGAAAATATTTTGCCCTCTGTGTCTTGAACTTGTCACAGGCAAGTCCCCATCATTTGTTCACCACCAGCCCTTGTGCAGGTGTAGGAAAGCAAGTCTTTCTGCACTCACCACCATGGCCACTGTGGCCTGGGCTGCCATGGCCACAGCTCCTCAGTGACCTCAGTTTGGAGGCTCTCTACTCTCAGACCTTTACTGGGCCCAAGAAACTATTTCTACTCTAAATCCAGGATGAAACCATAATTTTGCTTCTCATTGCAAGATGACTGACATTTCTTTTGAGAGAACAAGGCTGTTCCTCCCTCCTTCCCTCCCTCCTTCCTTCCCATTGACATATTTTCATTTATTCAAATGGCAGACATACAGGAAGAGAGAGAGTGATAATTCTGCCAACCATTGGTTCACTTCCCAGATAGCTGCAGCAGCCGGGGTTGGGTTAGGCTGAAGTCAGGAGCCCATGACTCCATCTGAGTCTCCCATATCAAGTACTTGAGCAATCATTTGCTGCTATCCAGGGTATGTGTTGGCAGGAAACTGGATTGGCAGTAGGAAGGCTGGGACTTGAGCCAGGTACTCCAATACGGGATAGAGGGATTTCACGTGGAGACCCAACTGCTGAGCCAAACACCCCCACCTTCACCTTCATCACTAATTCCTGAACATTTTCACCATAATGAGATTCCATACTCGTTAGCAGTCATTCTCTGTCTTTCTCTCCTCAACTCTTTGCAACCATTAATCTACTTTCTATCTCTATGGATTTGCCTGTTCTTGAAACTTCATGTAAATGAAATCCTCTGACAGGTGGCCTTTAGTGTCTGACTTCTTTTGGGAAGCAGTGTTTATCCATACTGCAGCATGTGTCAATACTTCCTTCCTTCTTTTTTTTTTTTTGACAGGCAGAGTGGACAGTGAGAGAGAGAGAGAGACAGAGAGAGAAAGGTCTTCCTTTGCCGTTGGTTCACCCTCCAATGACTGCTGCGGCCATCGTACCACGCTGATCCAAAGGCAGGAGCCAGGTGCTTCTCCTGGTCTCCCATGGAGTGCAGGGCCCAAGCACTTGGGCCATCCTCCACTGCACTCCCTGGCCACAGCAGAGAGCTGGCCTGGAAGAGGGGCAACTGGGACAGAATCCGGCGCCCTGACCGGGACTAGAACCTGGTGTGCTGGTGCCACAGGTGGAGGATTAGCCTATTGAGCCTCGGCGCTGGCCCTTCCTTCCTTCTTATGGCTGAATAATATCCCCGCTTTATGGCTATATCATTCTTTTTTTAACAATACATTTAACCCTTGATGGATGTTTGAGTTGTTTCTACTTTTTCGTTTGTTTGAAAACTGTGCTATAAATATTCATGTACAAGTTTTTGTGCAAACATGTGCTTTCATTTCTTTTGAGTGTTTACCTAGGAGTAGAATTGGTGGGTGGTACAGCAAATCTTTAAATTTTTGAGGACACGCTAAATTATTTTCTAAGTGATTGTGCCGGTTTACATTCCCCCAGCAGCCTGAGAGGGCTATGATTGCTATATATCCTCCCCAGTGCCTGTTAGTGTAGCTGCCTTTGATGTTGAATAGTACTAATGAGAGGCCAGGAGGTATGAAAAACATTTATCAGACATCACAAGAAATTTTTTTCTGGATATCTTGATAGATATTGTTGAAGTTTCCCCTTTTTCCTCTTTTATTCTTCCCATTACTCCCTTCATTTTGTGTTTCTTATCTTTCCTTTCTGTTCTCATTTGATTCCAGTTTATTTTTTCTTTTTAACAATTTATTTTATTTATTTGAAAGGCAAAGTTAGAAAGAGAGAGAGAGAGTCACAGAGAGAGAGAGAGAGAGAGAGAGATTTTCCCTCTGCTGATTCACACTCCAAATGGCAGCAATGGCTGGGGCTGGGCCTGGCTGAAACCAAGAGGTAGGAGCTTCATCCAGGTCTCCCATGTGGGTGCAGGGGCCCAACACTTGGGCAGTCCTTTACTGCTTTCCCAGGCCATTAGCAGGGGGCTAGATCAGAAGTAGAGCAGCTGGGACTTGAACTAGTACCCATATGTGATGCTGGCTCTGCAAGTGGTGGCTTAACCTGCTCCACCACAATGCCAGCCTCTCAGTTTCTTTTAAATTATGTAATGAAACATGCTCATTTTGACATTAACCAATGCAGAGATTTGCAAGAAAAAAGTAACAGCACTCCAGTCTCCTGCTGGAACCCCCACTGTAATTAATGTTAGCCATATACTGTGTGCTTGCCCACACTTTTTAAAGTTTATACAGAAATAAACATATTTTTAATAACAACAGCACTTAATATCCACACTCGGCAACTTATTTTGAATTTGGAAGTTATCTATCTATCTATCTATCTATTTCTTTATTGTAGCTTTTTGAGAGACAGAAATCTCTCACGGGCTTGTTCACTACACAAATTCTTACAATGGCTGGGGCTGGGCCAAGCCAAAACCAGGAGCCAGGAACTCAATCCAGGTCTCTCATGAGGGTTGTAGGGACCCAACCCCTTGAGCCATCACCTGAAGTTTTCCTGGATATACATTAACAGGAGCTGGGACTCAAACTCAGGCACTTAAATAAGGAACACAGGCATTCCAAGCAGTGTCTTCACTTTTGCGCCAAATGTCCACCATCAGTTTACAGATGACTGGTGACTCCAAGTTTAAGTGGGCTAAAGCAACTACCTGAGAAACTTTCAGCATGTCCATCTATTTTAGAAAGACATCATTATGGAAGGGAAGGAGACCAGTTTCAAAGTCTGTTAACAGAATCTTGATTTTGCTACCAACTAGCTAAGTGTCCTTAGGGCAATTAATGATCTCTTCTAAACCTTGATCACTTCATATATAAAATAAGGACAATAAGACTTGTTTCCAAGGGGCTGTTAATATCGGTGGATTAAATAGTTAATGTCAAGCTATTTCTGAGACATAATAGATGCTGAATAAATGATTATGAAAATCATCACCCTCATTGTTACTTCTCAGAATTTTAAGAAGGGTTTATCTTAGGAGATGAACAGAGGGGACCGGTGCTGTGGCACAGCAGGTTAATGCCCAGGCCAGCATCCCATATGGGTGCTGGTTCGAGACCCGGCTGCTCCACTTCTGATCCAGCTCTCTGCTATGGCCTGAGAAAGCAGTAAAAGATGGCCCACGCCCTTGGGCCCCTGCACCCACGTGGGAGACCCGGAAGAAGCTCCTGGCTCCTGGCTTCAGATCGGCGCATCTCTGGCCATTTCGGCCAATTGGGGAGTGAACCATCAGATGGAAGACCTCTTTCTCTCTCTCTCTGCCCCTCCTCTCTCTGTGTAACTCTGAATTTCAAATAAATAAATAAATAAATAAATAGATGAACAGAGAATCATAGAACAGTGTGGATACAGCAAAATATTTTTGGTGTTTTAAAAACTTTTAAATTTTCAGTTACTTTTCAACACTTAAGAGTAACTGTGTGATAATTACAGAATTAAACCAGTCATATTAAGTAGAACAGACAAAAAAAATACTAAGAGGGATAATGTATTAAGTTGTCCATTAACAGTCAGGGCTATGAAATGTGATCCCTGTTAAACATAAGAGTGGGAATAAGAGAGGGAAGAGATGTATAATTTGGGGCATGCTCAGGCTGACTTGCCCCAATTGGTAGAGTTGGAAACATACCAGGGGATTCCAGTTCAATCCCATCAAGGTGGCATGTACCAATGCCATCTCACTATTCCAAGTGATCAATTTCAGTTCACAATTGATCATAATGAAAGGACTAAGAGTCAAAGGGAGCACATAAACAAGTCTAGTACCTGCTAACACTAACCGATAGAATAAATAAAGGGGAGAGTGATCCAACATGGGAAGTGAGATACTCAGCAGACTCATAGAATGGCGGATGTCCTAAATAGCACCTGGCCTCAGAATCAGCCCTAAAGGCACTCGGATCTGGCTGAAAAGCCCATGAGAGTATTTCAGGCATGGAAAGCCAAGACACTCTGGCAAAAGATCTCTGTGAGTGAGATCCCAGTGGAAAGAACAGGTCTTCAAAGAGGGAGGTGCCTTTCTCTGAAGGGAGGAGAGAACCTCCACTTTGACTATGACCGTGTCTAAACAAGATAAGAGTCGGAGAACTCAGGGGGCTTCCATAGCCTTGGAAACTCATGACTGGTGCATAGGGAGATTACTGATGCCATAAACAGGAGTGTCAATTTGTAAAGTCAACAACAGGAGTCAATGTGCACTTACTCCTCATGTAGGATCTCTGTCCTTAATGTGCTGTACATTGAGGCTTAATGCTATAACGAGTACTCAAACAGTATATTTCACTTTGTGTTTCTATGGGGGTGCAAACGATTGAAATCTTTACTTAATGTACACTAAACTGATCTTCTGGAAAAAAAAAAAAGAAATTATCAATTCCCAACTTGACTCTCACTGGGATTAAACATAGGTCTGATCTGATTTCATCATCATTAAAAAAAAATCATCTATTATTTTTCACTTTATGTTTCTGTGTGGGAGCAAACTGTTGAAATCCTTACTTAAGGTATACTAAGCTGATCTTCTGTATATTAAGATAATCGAAAATGAATCTTGATGTGAATGGAAGGGGAGAGGGAGTGGGAAAGGGGAGGGTTGTGGGTGGGAGGGACGGTATGGTGGGGGGGAAGCCATTGTAACCCATGAGTCGTACTTTGGAAATTTATATTCATTAAATAAAAGATAAAAAAAACTTTTAAATTTTTAAAATTTATTCATTTATTTATGTTCATTTATTTGAAAGGAAGAGAGAGAGAGAGAGAGAGAGAGAGAGAGAGAGAGATCTTTTATCTGTTGGTTTACTTCCCAAACGCCTACCATAGCATGGGCTGTGATTCATTTTTCCTTTCAAGTTTTCTGGTATACCAGATGCTGAAACATTTGAATCCTATTCAACCTTTTTGTTTTTTTTTTTAAGAAGTTCCATTTGTTCTCTTTTTGAAAGTTTTGTTTATTTATTTGAAAGACACACACACATACAGAGAGAGAGACAGAGAGACAGAGAGAGATATCTTCCATCTACTGGCTCACTCCCCAAATGCCCACAATAGCTGGGGCTGATCCAGGCCAAAGCCAGGACCCAGGAACTCCATCTGGGCCTTTCCCAGGGGTGGCAGTACTTGAGTCGTCACCTGAAGCCTCCCAGTGTGTGCATTAGCAGGAAGCTGGATAAAAAGCGGAGGTAGTACTCAAACCCGGGCACTTTGGTATGGGATGGGACCATCCCGAGGGGTGGCCTAACCAGTATGCCACAACTGCTGTCCCCCTATTTAAACTTTGATAAGGCATTTTCTTATTTCACAGAATATTCAGAGATGAGAGAAGTAACACATTCATTTATTTCTAAACGAGTAATATAACTCAGTTTGAACAAATTTAACGAGAAGAAAGGAGTAGGGGTTTAAAAGTTCAAAAGTTTCTTCCAAATAGCGTTTAATTTACTTTAAATCAGTAGCAGTTTATTGAGCATTTACTGTGTGCAGCAGAAGCTGAGAAGAGCAGTAGTGATGGTGGTGCGGGGGTGCCTGAGCCTGCAGCTACTTCTTTTCGTTCACAGCCCCTCGACCTGCCGTCATCCTCCTCAGAGCAGACTTCACGTCCTGGTTCCTCAGTGTGTAGATGAGGGGGTTCAGTAAGGGAGTGACAACGGTGTAAAACACAGCCACTGCCCCGTCCAGGGGGCTCTTGGAGCCAGCCCTGAGGTAGATGAAGATACAGGGGACATAGTAGACGGTGACCACGGTTAGGTGGGAGCCGCAGGTGGAGAAGGCCCGGCGCCTCCCATCAGCAGTGCGTATCTTCAGGATGGCACGGATGATGTTGGCATAGGAGAGCAGAATTAACATGAAGCAACTGGCAGCCACTACCCCAATGTCCACAAAAGTCACCAGCTCGTTGACACTCGTGTCAGCACAGGCCAGTCTCAACACCGCAGGGATGTCACAAATGAAATAGTCTATCTGATTGGGTCCACAGTAGGGCAGGCGGAAGGTCAGTGCGGCCTGGATAGATCCATGGATGGAGCCTGCCAGCCAAGCTCCAGCCACAAGGATGCTGCATAACCTCCCGTTCATGAGTACAGGGTAGCGCAGGGGCTGGCATATGGCCAGGTACCTGTCATAGGCCATCAAGGTGTAGAGGAAGCACTGGGTGCTGCCCAGGAAGTGAAAGAAGTACAGCTGAGCCACACAGCCACCAAATGGGACAGCCTTGCTGGCAGCAGTGAAGTTTAGAATAAGCCGAGGGACGATGACGGAGGAGAGCCACATGTCCAGGAAGGACAGGACCCCCAGCAGAAGGTACATGGGGCGTGCGTGGAGCTTGGGCTCAGCCCACACGGTGAGCAGGATGAGCAGGTTCCCCAGCTGAGTCAGGACGTAGATGGTGCAGAAGACCAGGAAGAGGAGGGTTCTCAGGTTTGGGGGGTGAGACAAGCCCAGGAGAATGAAGTCTGTCACCATGGTGTCCAGCGATATGTTTTTGGTCTTTCTCATGTTTTTCTGTAGACTGGGAAAGAATGGTGAAGCCAGACAGGAGGAGCTGGCACGGTGAAGTTGTAAGAAAATCCTTTTGGCTGATGTTTACTGTCTAAGGGTCACGAGACAAACAGAACTGTTATAGAATTTTTTTAGAAGAAGAGATGGTGTCAAAGTTCATTACTTGGGTATACTTGATAGGGGAATCTCTCCTGCGGCTGGTTAGATTCTTAGATGGATGGAAACTCTTGTCAACTGGGAGCCACTGGAAGGCAAGATTTGCCACAGCAAGGAACAAAGGAATATGGAGTGACAGAGAAGGACCAATGACTCCAACCAAAAAGGATGTTCAGTGAAAGGTGATGCCCAGCAGCATGGAACAGATACTCTCCAGTTACTACATGCAGCTGTCCCTGCAGTGCAGTATGGTGTAACAGGATTTTTTTTTATTATTTATTGTAAAAGCATTGATTAATGCAGGATCTAATCTCAGGGTGATTAACATATACTTCTGCTTACTAAACAGTAACTCTGTCTAGAGACCTTTAGTTTCAATTTCCTGAACTAGAAAAACAGAGGGAATAAATGTGTTTTTTGAACTCTTGTTGTCAAACAGGTTGTTTGATGAAGATTTTTCCTCCACACTAGAGTCTGAGTTGCATTTATCTGCCATTTAACCATTAAGTATCTATGTAATTTAAGTGATTATTTTAAAGAAGCCAGTAAAGTGGTAATCAAGCAATGATAAATAACAAGTATCAATATGTTTAACCATGTAACCTCCATCAGAAATTCTCCAGACTTTACCTTGCTTATTCTCTAGAACAACTTAATTCATGTTGAAATTCAAGAGATAATAATAATAATACTACATATACCTGGATCTTTAGAGTGGGTAGAAAACGTTCAACATGACCTCTGTCAACAAGGAAAGAACAGAGACCAGATTTTCACTGCATGAATTTCAGAAGGACGTCTCATTTATTTGAACATGGCTGGCAAGATGAGTCTCGGTCTGTGGCTGGAATATAGAGAAAAAAGAGAAACAGTTTGGGTTAAAATTGTACAGGCAATACTGATTATGAGCCAAAGTAATTTTCTTCATTAGTGCAGGCATATAGTACCAGCATGCTTCCACTTAGCCAAGTGACAGAGTCATGAAATGTTTTATGAAAATGAATTTTTATACATTAAGCTAGAACTGTATGGGGCAGTCCAATAAGGCATATTAATATATCATGAAAAGGTCTCCCTTATTTATCCAATTTGCCAGCCTGCTTTTATTTTTAAGATCTTATTTATTTATTTGAGAGGTAGAGTTATAGACAGAGGTAGAGACAGAAAGAAAGGTCTTCTATCAGCTGGTTCACTCCCCAAATGGCTGCAACAGCCGAAGCTGGGCTGATCTGAAACCAGGAGCCAGGAGCTTCAGAAATCTGGAGTGTCTTCCAGGTCTCCCATGCAAGTGCAGGGGTCCAGGCACTTGGGCCATCTTGTACTGCTTTCCCAGGTGCATTAGCAGGGAGCTGGATGGGAAGTAAAGCAGCCGAGACTCCAACCCGCACCCATAGGGCAGAGGCTTAGCCCACTACATCACAGTGCTGCCCCGCCAGTCTGGTTTTTCTCTTTCTGTTGTGAATAAATCTGGTTTCACCCCCACTAGATGTCCTGTTGGAAGAAAGCTCTTTTACTACTCTAGGATTTGGGTGCCCTGCTGGATAAGACCACTTGAAACTCGGGTGGATTTTGCTGGTATATCTGAGGGCGGGTCACTTCTCTAGGCAGACTTGGCAAAGGATGGTGATTTAACCTGGGGTATGGTGTGCAGGGGTTATGGGGGGGTCCATCTAGATTTTTAGAAGTTGGACTTCTTGAGAAACGGAGAGTAGTGCCTGACGAGGTGGAAGCCTGGGTTCAGATGAGATGCACAAAAGAAACCACACTTGAGTGCCCTCCTCCTCCTCTGGCTTCCTGCATCATTCTGTCATTCTGTGTCTCTTCTCAGCTGTTGAACTTTTCCAAAAAAAATTAAAACAAACTTTAGTGTATTTACCCTGGTTAATTAGATAACCAAAATGTTCTAAAAGTTCCCATGGCATAAAAATTCTAATATTTCTCTGCATTTGATGTTGCTAAAATCCTCTTGTAAAATGGTCAGGATTTAAAAGATCAAAACATAGAAAAAGCAAAAGTTAAAATTCAATATAAAAGGCATCTGAAAATGAGAATCCTGGGACATCAGGGAATAAGCAATGTGTTTTTAAAAAGCAATTACCCTGGGCTCTCTAGGGAGCAGCAGAGGGGCTGGGGAGAAAGCCTGGCCCTGGACCCTGAGCCCTGAGAAGGTCGGGATAGGAGGGCAGAGAACAGCTTCCTGGGACTCCACAGGTGATGGGACACAGGCCGAGCTGCTCGCTGTGTCTCCTCTCCCACCCCGAGCCAAGCTAGTCTGACGTGAGCACGTTCTTCCCAGTGCATTTCCACTTAGAGAGTCTCAGAGCAGGGCAAGCTGCATCAGCAATTTGGAGCTTTGGGTTTCTACAGTGATCTTTGGGATCCGGGCTGACAGAGAATAGTTCTGAAACCCTGAAGGCAAGGAATAAAGACTGGTCCAGCATTGTCCCGGACATAGTAGGATGAGAGGACTCCTCATGACCCTTGGGTCAAGACTCAACCCAAATCTGTTTCCAAAATGTTTTGTCTTTGTCTCTATTCACTTGTGGTTAGGCATTCTGGTAGAGGCAGGGCAGAGTAGGAGAAATGGGGAGAGTGTGGAATGGCCTAGACACATTTTAGCTAATCCACAGGGTGGATTCTTGTCTTCCTACCAAGGTGAAATCAAAATGAGCTTGCTTTAGCAAAGGTACTTAGAGCCCTCTTCTCCGGAGCAGGGAAATGTTGCAAATCTGGTCTTTGTGTTTGCACAACCGCCAAAGGGTCTTCCTCATCACCCCAGTTCTGCCCTTTATCACTTCCCTAATAAACAGAAAAAAGGAAAAGAAATTAATGATGAGATATTTTGAGTCATTTTCTCAACACGAAATGAAATTTCCCAAGTTTGCAAAGAAGAAAGTGAATCCCAGCAGTTTGAGGAAGAACATGGAGACAAGAGACTGATTAGCAGAAAGTCTTAAAGTTCCAAAATTAGTTTGTGGCCTTATTCTGAATAGAGCTGGTTTCCAAAACTGCCTTTGCATCCTCTTAGACTTACAGAGCTGCAAAGCGATGGAGGAGGCTGGCTGGCCCCCAGCGGAGTGGTCCAGCCTGAGCCCCAGGCTCGCCTGTCACACAGGGCTCCCGTATATGTTTCCGGAAGGGCTTGAATTCTTTCAGGGGCTGGCCTGGTGAGCGAGTGTTCAGGTTCTCTGAGAGCACCTGCCTGTTTGGGCTCTTTGACTGGTGTGCCGTATATCTGGGATCATGTTTTTTAACCTCGGTTTTCATCAGCTGTTGCCTCTATGGCTCTGATTAGAGGAAAGCAAACGTCGTCAAGAGATTTGCACGACAGTTCTAACCTCAAGGGAAATCCTACTCTTAAGTGCTTCCCTACTGAGACCTTCCCTCCCCCAGTCCTCATGACTTTGTTTCAAGGGAGAGCAGGGAACGTCTAGGAGGGCCCTGGAACGGAGGTTGCGGGGACTCCTTCCTCAGTGTGGTTTGGATAGTCTATCTTCTTAGGGGAGTTTTGAGATCACAGGCCTCTGTTCGCCTACTTAGCAAAGTCTCCTGTTTCTCTTTCCAGATCTTTTCTCAGGAGTGTTTACCACCACCTGGTGTGCTGTGTTGATTTGTTGATTTGTCTGTCTGCCTTCCCGTGGAATGTAAGCTCCAGGAGGGGATAAGTTTTACTCCTGTAGACTCCCCAGTATAGAGCCTGGCAAAGCTGGTTCCCAGGAAACGCTTTTGAATGAATTAATCAAGGAAACTGCCACACAGATTAAATACTGTGGGGAGACAAAAAAGAGTGTGGTTCAAACATGAAACCCAGGGTGGGCTTTTGGCCTAGGGGCTAAGACTCCACTTGGTTCACCTGCAGCCCACTTTGGAGTCAGTGCAGAGCACCTGCTCCTGACTCTGGCTTCCTGCTGATGCAGATCCTGGGAGGCAGCATGAATGGCTCAAGTAGTTGGGACCCTGCCACCCACAGGGGAGACCTGGGTTAGGTTTCCAGCTCCTGGCTTTGGCCCTTCCTTGGCTGTTGCTGGCATTTGAAGGGAGGGCTGGTGGAAGGGTTTTCTCTGGTCTGTCTCTCAAGTACAAAAATATGTCTTCTGAACAATATGAACCTCACATTTAAAATTACCTTGAGTAAATATAATACCAAATTGATCCTCACATGTATGTGAGATCTAGATAGCATATACCAGGGAACGAAGCTTTGAGAGTCCATCTATTTATTTAAAAGTTAATGATTTATTTATTTATTTGAAAGGCAGAGTTACAGAGAAAGGGTGAGAGAAGGAGAGAGAGAGGGGAGAGAGGGAGAGGGAAGGGGAGAGGGAGAGAGAGAGGTCTTCCATTGGCTGGTTCACTCTCTAAATGACTGCAACAGCTGGGGCTGAGCCAGGCTGGACCAGGCTGAAGCCAGGAGCCAGGATCTCCATCTGAGTCTCCTATGTGGGTGGATGGTAGGGTTCCAAACACTTGTGCCATCTTCCATTGGCCTCTCGGGCACATTGACAGGAAACTGGTTTGGAAGTGGGCAGCCTGGACTCTAAGCTGGTGTTCCTATGGGATGCAGGCGTCGCAGGTGGAAGCTTAATCCTAGAACCACAATGTTGTTCCTGATTCCTTTTAATTCTAAATTACAAGAAAGATGTTTAGAGTTTGGTGTGTGTGTGTGTGTGAGTGTGTGTATGTACGTGTATGTGCGCGTGCACACACACATGAAAAGTTGCAATGCTGTATCTGGCCACAAGATGACAGTATCATCTTCAATAAAACCAACTATTATTTACTACTACATGGAATAAATAGAAATAAATACAGAGTGTTCATGAGACATGCAAATTAGTTGAGGCCAGATAGTCTATGTGACATACATTAGTTTGGAAGAAGACAAAACTTAGGGAATAGTTTGAATGAGAGGTTTCTTCCTCTTCTTCTCTCCTTCCCTTGTTTCCTTTCTTCTTCCCCCCGCCTGATTTCTTCCTCCTTTCTTCACTTCCTTTAAAGTTATTACTTTATTACATAATAATTTTGAAGAAAAATGCATAAAGTTAATGTTTTCACTATTGTATTTTAATACCAGATCTCTGAAATAATTATTTTTCCATTTCTTCCTCTATATTCATATGTTTACATAGAAGGACATGTGCACAGACATATTATTTTTTCTGATTTTTTGATGTCATTTTTTAATTTTAATTTTTAGTTTTTAAAAATATTTATTTATGTTTATTTGTTAAAGATTTATTTATTTTTATTTGAAAGTCAGAGTTACACAGAGAGAGGAGAGGCAGAGAGAGAGAGGTCTTCAATCCAATGGTTCACTCCCCAATTGGCCGCAATGGCTAGAGCTGCACTGATCCGGAGCCAGGATCCAGGAGCCTCTTCTGGGTCTCTCACACAGGTGCAGGGCCCCAAGGACTTGGGCCATTTTCCACTGCTTTCCCAGGCCATAGCAGAGAGCTGGGTTGGGAGTGCAGCAGCTGGGTCTTGAACCAGTGCCCATATGGGATGCCAGCACTTCAGGCATGGGCGTTACCCCACTGTACCACAGTGCTGGCCCCAAAAGATTTATTTATTTATTTGCAAGTTAGAGTTACACAGAGAGAGGAGAGGCAGAAAGAGAGAGAGAGAGAGAGAGAGAGAGAGAGAGAGTGTGTTTTCCATGCTCTGGTTCATACCTCAATTGAACGCAATGGCTGGAGCTGGGCCGATCTGAAGCTAGGAGCCAGAAGCTTCCTCTGGGTCTCCCACGTGGGTGCAGGGGCCCAAGGACTTGGGCCATCCTCCACTGCTTTCTCAGGCCATAGCAGAGAGCTGGATTGGAAGTGGAGTAGCCGGGTCTTGAACCGGTATCCATATGGGATGCCAGCACTGCAGGTGGCGGCTTAACCCGCTATTCCACAGCACAGGCCCCTCATTATAGTTTTGATTTGCATTTCCCTGATGCATAGTCATGTTGAGCATTTTTTCATGTATTGGTGGGCCATTTGTATTTCTTCTTTGCTCATTTCTCAGCTTGATTTTTGTTGTTGTTGTTGTTGTTGTTGCTGAGTTTTTTAAAGTTGGTGATATACTTGGGGTAGTAATCCTTTGTCAGATAGGTGGTTTGCATATATTATTTTAAGATTTATTTATTTATTTGAAAAATAGAGTTACAGAGAGAGAGAGAGGGAGAGATACAGAGAGATTTTTCCATCCACTGGTTCATGCCCCAAAAGGCCTCAATGGCTAGAGCTGGGTTGATCCGAAGCCAGAAGCCAGAGACTTCGTCCAGGTCTCCCATGTAGGTACAGGGGCCTAAGGACTTGGGCCATCTTCGGCTGCCTACCCTGGGAAGTGGATTGGGAGTGGAGCATCCGGGACTCAAACTGGTACCCATGAGGATGCCAGAGCTGCAGTACTAGTCCTGGGTTTAGAAATATTTTTTCCCATTCTGTTGGATGTCTCTTCCCTTTATTGTTCATTTCCTTTGCTGTGCAAAAACTTCTGAGTTTGATGTAGTCCATATATTTAGTTTTGCTTTTGCTGCCTGTGCTTTGGTGGTCTTGTCCAAGAAGTCGTCCCCTATGCCCATGTCTTGGAGTGTTTCTCCTACATTTTCTCCCAGCAACTTCATAGCCTCAGGTCTTACATTTAGGTCTTTGATCCA